GTCTTAAGTTTCCCGAACATATTTTCGCTTTGAGCAGCCCATCGAAAAACCCGCGAGCACCGACACTGTGTACCCCCGTCGGAGCTGCTCAACCGACAAGGTCAGGTTATCCAGGGGAGAGAGGGCGGCGGGCGGCCTGATAACCCGGGTTCTCAAAACAGTCCCCGACAAATCGAATCTCGCAATTCGATCGCCCCCCCCCCTGCGACGCCCCCGAGGCTGGCACCGCAACGAGACCCCTCAGGGCGCTCCCGCCTAACTGGGCTCTGCTCTGCTGGCAGCTTCCGCGGTGGCGCTGGCGGCGGCGCGCCCTCGGCTGCGGTGCCCGGGTCGACACCGCACCGCGCGGCGTCGGCAGCGGATGCGTCGGCGCGCATCCGCCTGCTGTGCGCCAGTGTCCGACCGGGCGCTGCTCTGGGGAGGCTTCGGGCTGCGCGCAGACAGCTCCTCCTCCTCCTCCTCCTCCTCCTCCTCCTCCTCCTCCTCCTCCTCCTCCTCCCCCACAGTCCCGGCTGTCCTCAGATGCCCCCGGTGGTGGTCCGGGGCGGCCTCGACACCCCCACCCTGCCACTGCGCCGCAGGGGCGCCGCCGGGCACCCGCCCTCCCTCCTCCTCCTCCTCCTCTCCTCCTCTCCTCCTCCCCTCCTCCTCCTCCTCCTCCTCCCCTCCTCCTTCTCCTCCCTCCTCCTCCTCCTCCTCCTCCTCCCCCTCCTCGCCTCCTCCTCCCCCTCTCGCTCTCCTCCTCCTCCTCCTCCTCCTCCTCCTCCTCCTCCTCCTCCTCGAGACCGCCCCGGACTACTCCGACTACTCGGAGGGCCTGGGCTGTGCTATGGCCGACTGGGGCAACCTGCGGTGGCTGCCCGTGCGCAGCCCGAAGCCTTACCCTGAGATCCAGCGGCGCGACAAACAATCGCAACATAGCGACAATCACGACCCAGACCCCCGACCCAGGCCGCATCGATCTTTCAGGGCCCCGCGGGACCCGACACCGGCGAAAACGCAAGGTAAAAACAAGGCAACGCCCGGATCTCATGGGTACCATGCTATGCAGCTTCCATCGGTGGCGCTGCATCCGTTGCTGGCCGCGCCAGCGCCGCGCCCAGACCGGCCACAACGCAAGAGTGGCCAAAGTGACCTTCGGTTCGCGGCTTCAAAAGGGCCGCGGAGACCAAATCCAGGCGCGCCGGCCACGAAAGTCACGAGCGGTGAACAGATCCGCATCCGCGCCATCGCGGTCTGGATCCCAGGGCGCGCTCCCGCGGGTACGCATGAGGCACGGGTACGGCAGTTTCGCGTCGTGTCGACCCCGGCGTTGGTTCCTGACACCGCGGGGATCGTTGAAACTTGTAAGATCGGCCCTTTCAAAAAGGCCGGATCGTTCAAGGATGGGCCGATTCTGGGCCACAGGCGGCGTTCAGCCTTGAAAGGCCCGCGCTGGGGTCGCCTCCGGTCGGCACGACGCGAACCTGCCATACGCGCGCTTCGCGCGGGGGATCTGCTAGAAGCGTCCCACATCCGCGGGGTCGCGGCCCAGGGGCCCGGGCTGCGAGGCGCCAGACCAGGTGTGTACAGATGTGGCGTTCGCCCACGACGAAGGTCGCTCTGGCACGTGGCCACTCCCGCGCTTGACCGATCATGGTCGGCGCGACACCTCAAGCGTTCCCGCCGAACCTGAGCATCGTCTAACCGACCCCTATCCCAACGGGCGTGGCGTGGGCCCCGCTGGCCGATGTCACCCCTCTAGGTTGATTCCACTCGACCACCCAAACCTAACCCGAAGAGCCACCTGTCGTGTCTTGGGGGGGGGTACGGGTTCCACATGTGATATTTGTCAAAGTTCCCCGACGCCCCCCCCCCCACACTGGGAATGGCGGGCAAATTGTGGCCTTCGGGTTAGGTCGGGGTGGTTTGGAGGGTGGTGATAGATGGGGATATAGGCTGTTCCTTTCGGGTTTCGAGGGGCGTATATCCCCAACTGGGGTAGTGAAACGGTGGGGGTCTGGATTGGGACGGGGATGGGGATACGGGTCTTGAGCAGGGACCGACCGTCGCTGCATTCCTATAAGCCTACAACGCCATGCTCTTAGAACCAACGGTGCCCTACGAACAAGAGCAGCGTTCGCAGAACATGACGCCGACGTGCTAGAACAAGACTGCCTCCGCCAGAAAGATGCTCTTTAAGAACACCTCCCGGGAGCGGCCAAGAGGGGGGTGTCCAAGAGGGGGGGGGTGCAAATCATGACCGGCGGCACGTGCGCGGCCCAGCGGGGGGGCCGGGGACGTAATGAAATAAGAAGAGGCGCCATGGAATCTGGGGAAATATCATGGCCCACGCCACGACATCCCCCCCCCCCTAGGCACCACCCCCTTCTCTTCCGCCCCCGAATCTCTCGCAAACCACCGGCAAGCGAAGACGCTTGCCAACGCGACTGCCCGAGGGTCGTTTCGACGATGCCGAGAGCCGGGCCAGCCTCGCCGCGCGCAGGGCCTCCCGGTCTGGCGCGCCCGCCGCTGCCTGCGCGGCGCCCTGCGCGGCGCCCGGCGGGGCCTGCTGCGACCTGTGGGCGGCCGAATGTTCTCCCGCGCCGGAGGACCCAAACTCCATGAATCACCACGCGAACGAGCAATCCAATGACCTCCGATGGCACCGGTGACCCCTTTCGTCACGGGCGACAAATATGAAGGAGCCCCAGGACACACAAATAAATACACACAAATAAACAGATTCCCCATATTTTCCCGTATTTTCTGGGTTTTTGTCTTCCCCTCACTTCCCATATTTTCCCAAATTTTCTGGGGGATCGAGGATTAATTGTGTCTGTGTGGTTTTTCCTCTCCTGAAAATAGCTGGAGAGTTGAACTCGCGGACGCTCGCTGCGACCTGGGCGGCTCCAAAAATTGGGCCCCGAGGGGGCCGGCATCCTCGCGTTGTGATCGACCAGCGCCTCCCACCGCTCGTAAAGCACACACCGTTGCGAAGACGGAGGCAGAAGCATGGAGCAGGAGGGCGGATCAAGCAGATTGGGTTCGGGCCCTCCCAGAAAACAGTAAGAACACAGCAAAAACATATCGATTCTTGAGGTAGGAATGCGCATGAAGTAGATTCGGATGGGGGAAGCCACGAGTATCTCCTTTCAACGACCGGCATGTAACTACTCGCAAAAGGCCTGGATCCGCCGCGGGGGATGTACGACCCATTATATCGAGACAAACGTGTGCTTTGGGGGGACGTTTGCGAGTGGGCACTTTGCGAGCAGTGGAGCGCGCTCGGTGATGTGAGACAATAAAACATGACGGGAGGTGTTTGGCCATTTTGGGCCTCCAGGGGCCCTCGCAAAGCCCCAGGACCATCAAAAACGAAGGTGAAAAGCTGGGGGTCTCGGGATGGGGCCCTCTGGACAAGAAGGGGCCCAGGGTTGGATCTGCACTGTCTGAAGCACCTCGTCCTCCTAGGACCCTATCCCTCTGGGAGGCCACGCTGCCCGAGGAACATCATCCATAGGGGCCCCATCCCTCGCGGTGGCCTACGCCTTTTGAGGCACCTCGCCCCCCGGGCCCCATCCATCGGGGGGGGTACAGTCGGGGCGCTGACCTAAGGAACAATAAATAAGGAACGAGGCCCCTTTTTCCCATGTATGAGACTCCGATGTCCCGTGGAAAACCTGAGGAAAACACCGCCAAACAAAAACCGAGGAGCACCTGTAAAGCAACTCAGGAACACGGAGCCCCTCCCCCACAAAAAGGGCTCCTTCTTCGGGGCCCCGACTGTACCCTGCTCGAGGCGCATCGCCCTCCGAGCCCCCCCCATCGAGGCCCCCTCTGCCAGGTGCGCCCAGAATCGAGTCGATAAGTCGGGTCGGCGATCGAAATCAATCGGATCGGCGGACATCGGCAGCCGAATCGTGAAAAGTCGAACCGGCGGAAATCAGCAGCCTAGAAGGCCTCCATTGGAACATCTGATCCCAAGTCGGAGTCCGAAGTCGAATCGAATCGGAAGCGGAAGCCACCGAAACCGAATCGAATCGAATCGGAGGCATCGAAATGAGCCCTGCTCTGCCCACCGCCCGCGACCCCTGGGCCACGGAGCCCGCTCCCGGCGCCGCCGGCAGCGGGGCGGCCGAGCTCGCCGCCGCGGGCCCAGCCGAGCTCTCCGCCGGCGGCGGCCCCTGGCTCCGCCGCAGGAAGGCGGCGAACCTGGGAGGAGGAGGAGGAGGAGGAGGAGGAGGAGGAGGAGGAGGAGGAGGAGGAGAGGAGGAGGAGGAGGAGGGGGGGGGAGGAGGAGGAGGAGGAGGAGGAGGAGGAGGAGGAGGAGGAGGAGGAGGAGGAGGAGGAGGAGGAGGAGGAGGAGGAGGAGGAGGAGCCGCCCGGGGCGGACCCCGACATCCTCGCGCCGTGAGAGACCAAGGCTCTGTGAGCCACTAGCCCCCCAGCGCGCCGGAATTACTCTGCCAGCTTCGCCGCGAACGCTCTCAGGGAAGCTCTACGAGTCACGAATATAGAGCTCTAACGAATTGTGGAATTCTCAATTTAGATAGGTCAAAAAACAAAACATCCGTCGAGATGTTTTGCCAACTGGCCCCCCAGCGGGCGGGAGCTCTGGCAACCGTGCTGCCCCTGGGGGCCCTCGGCGGGCCCCCCAGGGCCGCCACGCAAAAAAAGCGGCACGGGGTAAACGGGAAAAAAACAAGGGAGGAAAAGAGAACAACCGGATCCGGAATATCAATCCGAAGTAGACTTCACTTCTGATTCCCTGCGCGAGGGGTGCCATCTCGCGCGGGGCCCACCGACATGAGACCCCCCCCACAAAAATGGATCGCCCTCTGGGCCTGCCTCTCCCATGAACCTCCGAGAAGCAGCAGGAGGCACGCGTGTCAGGCTCGCGCCTGCACGCTTCCTCTGCTTCTTCACGGGGGCTCAGGGCGAAGGCACGGGGCACCGACGAGAGCTGCACCCTCGCAGGCGCCTCCTGCTCGACAGACGGCCGCGCACGGGGACGAGGAGCTTCGGCTCCCTCGTCTGACGTCACTCCAAAGGGGCTGGGCCAGCTCGATCTGGCGGCCGAAGATGGGGAACGAACGTCGCCAAAAACATCTCACCCGTCTGAGAAGGATGCTCACCTCTCAGCAGCCGCAGCCAGGGCGCGGAGGCGGCCCGGGCCGCAAGGTTGCGGAGGCCTCCACGTGGCCCCTTGAGGCGCTTCTGTTCTCGACGAACCGCATGGTAGCAAAACGACGTGCGAAACCAAACCAACTCCCCTCCAGGAGCTCGAGGGCTTCAGTGCGGAATGAGCCTTGACTTTCCACGGGCTCGGCTGCAGTGGACCCCGAGCCATGAAAACCTCTCCTCGGGCCCCCGCCGAAGCCCCTGTGCAGGAGGAAGAGGCAGCAGCAGCAGCAGCAGCAGCAGCAGCCGGACCGGAGGGAGATCCGCGGCAGGAGGGTTTGGAACGACTAGGGCCCCTGGGTCCCACTCATTTGGCCACTCTTCTAAATCGACCAGACTCGAGAGATCAAAGTCTTGGTGATCCGGTTGGCCCGCGTCCACTGTCATCGCTCGAGCCACATGCTTAGCCACTTGCTTTCCGACGGCACGAAGACCTTTACCAGCGCATTCGCCGCGACAGTTCTGGCTTGCAACGCTCCGTTCTTGGCAAACGCATCCGTCTGCGAAGTGACCAAACGGTGGGTCGGCGAGATCTTTCCAGCCTCGTCGCCCCTGCGTGGTCGCGTGGCCGTTGACATGGATGAAAGGCCGATGCGCGAAGTCCTTCCGCGAGTGGACACCAATCCACAAGTGAGCTCGAGCGTAAGAGGGTCTCTGCGACATCGCAGGCTTCATGCAAAGGCTGGAGGCCCCTTCGCACTCACGCGACGCCGAAACTGACCGAAAACAAGCTCACCGACTTCCCAAACTGCATGAATCCCGTCTCGGGCTATTTGTTGAGGCTCAACAAATGGCGGGCCAGCTCCGTAAATCGCCCTTTGGAAACGCTGTTCTAGGAATCGTGCAGGACAGCTGCCCGCCCTGCGTACCTAACCGATGGGACATCTCCATCCGCGCCAAGGCCGCCCACGAACGGCAAAACCGCCCTCCGAATTGCACAGGGGTGAGACCCGAGTGACTCTGACCTCCCGCTCGGGCAGAAAAAAACAAGACCATGGAAACGCCGAGTCGGACCAGGGAGCAGACGCCCCTGACGAAGCGCTCGCGCCAACTGGGGGGGGGGGCTTCGGGGGCTTCTTTTTCGAGGGCGCCCCACTTGGCCTTCGAGGTTATCGCGCCGCCGCGGCGCGCGAGCTCGACAACAAAAAGCCCCTAGGACAAAATGGTCACCCGACCCCCCTGGCACAACGCGCATGCGCCAGGCATCGCGGGCTGTCGCTCACGCGTCAGGACCTGATTCCAATCAGACCAGCTATCAGGCCCCTGATCACACTCTGATCATACCCACTCCAGACACCGGTTGGCTCCAGCGCACAGAGGCACAAGAGCTGGCCTCCGGAAGAGCTCGGAGCCCCACGGGCCTCCCGCATCCTGCAAGAAGGGCTCGCCGATCGGACGCTCGACGGGCCGAGCAGGCCGCGAATGAAGCACCCCGCCCCTCCCCCCAGTCGCCCGCCGCAGCCGTCGCCGCCCGAAACCTCCACCCAACCCTGCTCGCCGTCAGAACCAGCGCCACGACTGGGTCTGCAGCCGAGACCACGGCCTCGGCCGACTGGCGCCCGACTGCGCTTGGACCAGCAGTTCCTCCACGACTGGCCTGGGCAACTGGCCTTGGCAGAGCACCGCGCTGCAACGTTTGGAAAGAAACCACTGCCGCCATCCCCGGGCGACTGGCCGACAGAAACAATCCTGTGTTTTTGCGACGTGCGCGCAGAGCGAGCGGTCAAGCGCCTCGGCGGCGCCGTGCCCAGCTCAGGCGCGTGCACCTAGTTAGGGGCGAAGGGGGCCGGGGGGCCGCCGCGCACGACCCGCGCAGAGGGGCGCAGAAACAATCCGCGCGACGCCCCTCTAGGAAGACGCCCCTGGGCCTTCGCAGCTGGGGCCCTCAACGCAGTCGGGCGCCAATCTGGAACGTCAATGAGCCCCTCCCCCCCGCGTCGCCACCGCAACGGCGCCTCCCCCTTATGCGCAGCTCCTAGGCGCGCTCGCCCAGACTGCAGGATGCGCAGACGCTTCCCTCGACTCCGCCACGACGGAGGTGGTCTCTGCACCTGGCGAACTGGGTTTCACGGCGGCGAATCGCTTGCTGAGTCGCGGCGCACAAAGCCTGTGGCCTCAGGTCCCGAGTCCCACTGTGGTTCCGGGTCCTTGAAAAGCTGACTCGACGAGGCAATGCAAACCCGCCTTGTTCTAGGACATCGGGAGACACCACTGAACCCGAGACACGCTGGAAAACCATGGGAAGTTGCTGAACGACCGTGGCGGGGCCTCCCAAAGCTTGAGACGACACATCATCAAATGCGCTGCGAATTGTCACAGCGCGATTACTTGCAGCCGCTGTCTCAAGGGCTACCGCGACCAATACTCCGGCTAGAGAAGCGACGCAAGAGCAGCCGGCAACCGCCGTCCCATTCACTTCGCAGGGGCCGCATGCGACGTATTCGACTGAAGCACAGACAGCTCTCCTCTCAGCCCTGTAAATGCAACAGAGCCCTCGCAGCAACCTGTCTGCGATCCCGACCTCGCGCGCTGCCTCTCTCAAAGCCGCGTGCCCTATGTTCTCGCAGTACTTACGGAAGTCCAGAACCGCCGAGGCCATCGACTGCCCTCGCAGTCAAGAAAATGAGCACCTGGCCGATGCTGGCCTGCGCCACGGTCAGCAGCGCTCAACGCGTTATGAAGCCGCGCATTCTAGTCGCACGCCGACGCGCTGTCTCGTCTCCAAGGCAGCTGGCGCCCGTGGCACCTCTCCAACCAGTCGCAAATATGATGCCCGATCCGCGAAAACAGCCTGGCCCGCAAGGGCAAGGGGCAGATTGGCCTCGCGCCCCCCGCCGGTCCGTGAAGAAACGCCGTCGAAGCCTGGAGACCCTCGGGTTGGATCCCCACGCGTTCAAAACATCAGCCAAAAGCTGGACAAACTCTGCTGGCAGCTGCTGCATCAATCGAGGATGAAAGCCGCTCTCCGCCCAGGAGCCCCCCCACCCCACCACTGCGCTGCCGCGATCGGCGGCAGCTGGCTCTGGACATCCCACCACTCTGCGCGGGTCTCTCCGCGTCTCCGATCGCTGGCCCAGGGAGGCCCCCATCCTTTCGGGATCTGAGCCGACGCCCGCCGCCCTGCTGGAGGGGGGGCCCGCCCTCGCCGCCAAAGGGTCCTCGCCCCGCGCCGAGCAGCAGCTGGAACTGGGCCCACAGAAGGCTCCTGGGCCCTCGTGGCCCCCTGCAGCTGCACCAAGCCGTCTTGCACAGAGCGCGCCGCTCGCTTCTCGAGCGCCCCGCACCCGCGCCTGTAGACGAGCCCGACGCTCTCGCGCCAGGGCCACAGGCGCCGAGGACTTCTCGCGCGGGCCCTGCAGGACCTCCAGCTCCAGCACCTGACGGGCCCCGAGGACTTTGAGCCCCTCCTCCTGGGCCCCCCGGGCAGGATGGCCCCGGCCCCACTGAGGGTTTCGGTGGCTTGTCTCTGGCGGCGGCGCGCGTCAGCCCGTCAGGAACCAGTCCTGCCTCTTCCGCTCGCTGGCGTCGCAGGCCGCGGCGGGTTTCTTCATCTGCGGCCGGCTCTGCGGCCGGCGAAGCCGTCGTCCTCCTCCTCCTCCTCCTCTGCGGCCGGCTCCGGGGCCTTCTCCCTCTGCGGCGGCTTCTGGCGCGGCGCCTCCTGCCCTGCTGCCGCCGGATGCCGGCTCGTCCTCGCCCCCGCGCAGGCGAGAAGGCCTCCACGCAGGCCGCCGGGGCAGCACTCTGCGAGGGGCGAGCGGCATGCCAGGTGCTGCCCGAGGGCCGGCGCCAGAGCTGCGGGCCCCGCCCGGGTCTCGCGGTCCCGCGCGGGATGCCGCAGAACTCCTCCTCGCCCTGCTCTGGAACAGCATGGAGAGCGCAGAACATTGAGGGATGAAACAAGTGCGTGGTCTGTAAACCTCCTGGGGACCCCCCAAAGCCTAGAGGCGCCAGGACGCGGCACATCACACAGGGTTTACCCTGTCAGCCCACAGGAGTTTCAGCGCACAGCGCCTCGTAAACCAGGGTAGGGGCGTTTGTTATGCCCTTGAGAGCCAGCGCTCCGCCTTCTACAGAACCAGACCCCCGCAGCATCGCGCGGACCCCAGGGCCAAATCCAGAGGCCGTGCCCAACTCAGGAGAGTCGCCGGCCCCGTCCTGGTCGGCAAATGACGAATCGTCCCCCCCATCGTCGTTCCCCGCCCTTCCCAAGGGGAACGGCCGCGGGGCAGTCCTCTGCCGCGCCATCGCCCGCGCGAGCCTTTGAGAGAGATACTCCCCGCAGCACAGGGCCCTCGAGGGGCATTGCTGCTGCCGTCGACCTGCCTGGCGAAAGGGCACTGGACACAGACTGAGGGCGAACACATCCAGGCGCCTCCGAGGGCGCCTCAGGATAGAGGATCCGCAGGCTGGGTCCGACGTTCCTTGGAGGCCTGGAAATGGGCACCAACACCAACACAGAGGGTTGCCTCCACAAGGGGAAGATGTTCCTAGTCTTCAGTGCTGGTGGTAATGTTTCGGCCACACTGGAGGCCAGAGTATTACCACCGTCACCGAGATCGGGGCCTTGTTTCCCTCGGTGGAGGCACACCGCCGAAATCGGTGCAGGTGTCAATCTCTAGGCATGCGAGTTCCACTCCGACGCCAGAGGCTCCTGCGGCCCCAATGTTCCACTCGCCCCCCTATCGCCGCCGGAAGCTGCGAGGCCGGGCCGCCAGCTTCTGCGCATCTCCGCCAGCAAAGAACCCCGCGGCCCGCGACCATGCCGTTTCCGGCTCGCGACGCAGCAGCGAGAGAGAGAGAGAGAGAGAGAAACAAGAGAGAGAGAGAGAGAGGAAGAGGAAGAGAAAGAGAGAGAGAGACAGAGAGCAAACAACAAATAAGCACATAAAGAAAGAAAGAGAGAGAGAGAGAGAGAAAAACATAACGACACTAATAATAAAAGTAAAGAGAGAGAGAGAGAGAGAGAGAGAGAGACAGAGAGTTAGGAAAACAAAGAAAGTGTCGATTATCTCTGTCGATTGCTGCGCCTCCGCAAACAACTTCGACGCTTGCTCGGATGCCACCTTCTCGAGCTCCGCCTAGCGCTGGCGGTCCTCGCCAGACAAGTTTACATGATCACCCATATCAAGCATTTGACCACAATCAATACGAAGCGTGCCACCCGGCATGGCATCGCGCTTGGCCCCGCTGGAAAACCCATCCGGAACAGGGTCTTTCCGTTGGCGCTGAGATTCGGGAACCTCTTCCGCCAAACGCTGCTTGAAGGAAACCACCCGTTTGATCAAAATCTTCCATGAAGGGGCCTGGGACACACAAGTAAATAGACACAGATAACCGGATCCCCCGTACTTGTTCACATGTTCTGGCTGTGTTCCTCTTCCCCCCCCCACACTTCCCATATGCTTTCCCATGTTTTCTGGGGAATCGACGGTTCCTTGTGCCTGTGTTTGTTGTTGCTCCTGCTTCAAGCTCGCCTGTGAAAAGAGCCAGCCTGGAGCTTCGCACTCGGGCGACGCAGGCTGGCCTCTCCCACTTGTCGGCAAGATCCAGCTCCTCCCTCTGCACGTTCTGCACGTGCGTACGGCCCTGCGCCCGACGGGGTTGGAGTTATAAGTCGGGCGTGCCCCTCTACAGGAGGGACACATCCCAACATAGCCAAACAAAACATGTATGTGGGGACGATGTTTTGAGTATCTGTGAGCATCGTTTGCTTTTTTTTACTTGTTTGAACTTTTCGTCCAAAATCCGCCTGCAGGAGGACACGTCCGACCTGAGGTTAGGTCGGGCATTTCCTCCCACGGGCGGATTTTGGACGAAACATCAACAGCAGTCGAAACATCCCCCCCGAATTCTCAAAAAACATAACAAAAACATCGTCCCCATACTATGTTTGGACCGGTTTGGGATATCCCTCTTGTAGTTGAGGGATGAAAAGACGACCCTACCCTGGATTACACGTGCGTGGTCTGTAAACCTCCTGGGACCCCCCAAAGCCTAGAGCCGCCAGAACGCGGCACATCACGCATGGTTTACCCTGTCAGCCCACAGGAGGTTCAGAGCACAGCGCCTCGTAAACCAGGGTAGGGGCGTTTTTTCTGCCCTTGATGTAGAGGGACGTGCCCGACTTACACCCACGGTTGGACAGCTCCCTCTCCCGCGCGAGGCGAGGGGGCCCGTGGGGGCCAGCCCTGCGGGCCGCGCACGTGCGCACGGCGCACAGCGCGGCCGCGGACCCCCGGGCTCTCTCAGAGGGGCCCACGAGCACACAGAAACACACACACACAAACGATTCCCAGGATTCCCCCTCTTTCCCCCCACATGTTCTGGGATGTCGTCTTCCCCCCCGCTTCCCAGAATTCTCCCCTCCTCTCCTGGGAGTCGACGAGGACATGGTGTCGGTGTTCTTTGTGTTCTCCTCCCGACCCCTGCTTAGCGGCCACAGGCCCTGCGGCCCGAAAGCAAGGTCCGCGCGGTCCACCTCGCGCACAGCGAGCGACCCGGGGCCCCGCGGGAGAACCGGAGTGACCCGAACGGAGGGGCGGAGTCGACGCGTCGGCGGAGGCCGCCGCTCCTGCTGCCTGCGCTCCTTAGGAAGGCACCAACTATACACCAACACCGATCCTGACCAGGATCACCCCGGGCCCAGGATCGGTGCATACGCCCTCCTGCCTTGCGCAAGAAGGCATCTACACCGATCCTGGGCCCAGAGTGATCCTGGGCCAGGATCGGTGTTGGTGTATAGTTGGTGCCCTCCGACTCTTCCCCCCCCCGATTCGATCCGTACTCCAAGGGCCTCTCCACTTTCCAGGCTTGACCGCATCCTGCTGCGACGTGTGCCCACGGGCGGGAGTGCCACGGAGCGCCCGCGGGGGCCTGGAGGAGAGGGGCTGTCCGCACTGGAGGCAACGGCTCGCCGCTCTGCGATGATTTCCACACCCACGCTGCCAGCACTTGAGGAATTCTGCTTTGGACCCTGCAGGCTTCCAATCGCCATCAGATGCAGCTGGAGAGCGCGCGTGCGAATATCAAGACTGAGCATGCCTCGCCATCCGAGAGCGCTTCAGGCGCTATCTGACAGGACACAAAGTTGTAGCGGGAGCAAGACTGAATAAGAAAGGAAGGGCCTCCTGCATGGGCAGGCGCCTGTGGGGGACCTGAACTGTCGGGGGCCGCTGCCCCCCCACGCCACAGTCAATGTCTGAGAGAAACGCTACGGGCTTGAGCCAAAATGGCCACGGAGGTGGGAGAAGGAGAAGGAGAAGGAGAAGGAGGAGGAGGAGGAGGAGGAGGAGGAGGAGGAGGAGGAGGAGGAGGAGGAGGACTGGGAACCGTGCCATGGGCTGACTTGGGTCCTGCTGCTGGCACACCCACGCGCAGTAGCCCGGGTCGCCGAGCAGCACCTCCTCGAAGGTCTCCCCTGCGTGCTGCCCGAACGACAGCACCTCCGAGCCCCCCGGCGCCTCTGGAGGCCTCCCACACGAGAGGCCGAGCACGTCAACGGCGAGCGAGGGGGGGGGGAGTGAGGAGGAGGAGGAGGACTTCTCTAGGGGAACAAAAAGTGGCATAAGCATAAAAACTCGGAGGTCCGCGCGGATTTCTCGGATCGGCGCTGGACCCCCCTGCCTGGCGCGCGGAGCGCGCCAAGGGCGGCGCCGGAGGCGCCGCCGGGGGGCCCCAGCGCCGATCCGAGAAATCCGCGCGGACCTCTGAGTTTTTACGTTTATGTCACTTTTTGTTCCCTATTCTCAGAAGGCGGCGGGGCTTCTCGGAAGCCATCGCGTCTCCTGGAACGTTTTCGCCGTGTCTTCGCGGAGGGCCGAAGAGGCTTCTCAGAAGGCGCGGGGGGATTGCGAGTCTTCTGGGAAGGCCCGCCGCTTCCCACTTCCCCTCTCGGGCTCGCCGCCGAACATGGGGTCGGAGGACGGCGCCGCATCGCCGATGCATCAGCGACGGCGACATGGATAAAATCAGGCTCCACATCGAGCCGCATCGCGGATGCACCGACACGGCGCGATCCTCCGACTCCATCTGCTCGGACCCCACGTGGGCGACGAAGAGATGCTGGCCGCACGCACCATGAAATAGGTACCCTGCGCTGCGGCACTTGCGCGGGCCGCCAGCGCGGCACGCTGCATTAGCAACGAAGGCGCATACGCGCGACGAGGGACGCCTGAGCACCCATGCCGCTGAAGACGACTCCGTGCTTCTGCGTCGCTCCTTTGGGCGGCCCGGCACCTCGCCGCCGCCGCCCAGCACCCTGCCCGCATCCGCGTCGCTGGCGGCGTCGCGCCACGCCGCGCCGCCACGCCTCGCGACGGGCAACGCACCCAGGGCCACGGTCTCGCACCCAGACCCCCTCGGGCCATGAGAAAATCACGGCGGGAAGTTGTTTGCCGCATCTTCGGCCTCTGGAGGCCCTCACCGGGCCTCGGGACCGTCGACAAAACGCCTCAGGATGAAAGACCAATCCTTGGGAACCCAGACATGCGACGCCCTGATTTTTTCAGGGCGGCGTCCCTGGAAGTCCAGACCCTTTCCCCGGGGCCGGTTCTTCGTCCTCAGTAGTTGTTTGACGGCCCTGGGGCCTGGCGAGGGCCTCCAGGGGCCGAAAATAACGAAAAAGTTCCTGTCCTGGGAATGGGAATGGGTCGAGACCTCTCAGGGTCGGCGTTGCGAATGTCTGGGAATGGGTCGAGACCTCTAAGGGTCGACGCTGTGGACCAATCATGACGTCGCGGGGGCCTGGGCAGGCAGCACCCCCGGGCCACGACCCCACGAGGCGACCCCGCATACGCGAACCCTGCGCACCCCTGCAGGACAGATTTCTGAAACGCCGGCTGGGGTTCCGAATTCCCTGACATGGTAGCACGAAGAAGAAGATGGTGTATGTGGGGCACCCTAACTCTGGAATGGCCCCACCTGATAGAACGCTAACCTCCAGCATAACGGACCTCCTGAGAAGGTACGTGGTCCACTCGAGGATGCAATCTGGTATCCATGTCGGTACCCAAGGCAATCAGCGCCATCTCCACGGCCGCCGTCAGCTTGGTCGCTCTTGAAGTAAGTGTCGGCGCGTCGGAGAAACAAACCCAGCCCGATTTGCTCAACACACGTGGCGCCGTAGTCTACAAATCGAATGGAAGTCCGCAGCGTCGTGCAATGCCCACTCGAGAGTAGCGGTCTTCCCAGTAGTGTCTGAAACTCGGGGACGTGGCACCGCGCAGTTTGCAGCCCTTGCCCAAACACCTTCGCGTCTCCGAGGACACGGCTCCAGCACGATAGATCCGCACCAGTCGCCTTTCATCCTCGGTGAGACGCTTGTAGAATTGCTTGTAAATCGTATTGGGCTCTGCATCCACATCCACGTCCAGGATCTCGGCAGCGTCAAACCTCGTGTCATTGACAATAGCCAAGCAGCGGATCCTTGCCACACAGCGCAGAACGTGCTCGACCTTCTTCTCATAGCGATGGTCTCCGCCAGGGCGATGCGTCCAGAAACGGTTCTGGCCACCCACCACCCCCTGCAGTACACTCACCACTCTGTGATCGTCCGCTGGGTCCACCTGCAGACAGCAACCCCGACGATCGGCGTAAGATATGAAAGTGAGGCCCATCACCTGGGCATGTCGTGACATAGCCTGCTCAAGACAAGTGGACCAAATCAGACGTTCCTGAGCAACCGCCTTGAAAGCGTGCAGTGCCCAAGACAGCTGGGGATGTAGGTGTACGTTGAGCCCACCAGCGACCATAGCACCACCACTTATTCGTCGACCGTGTGATCGACCGATACAGAGCTCTGCACGTGAGCAGTGGTGGTGGTGCTATTAGCGGGCACGCCCACAGCCACAGTGGGCGAATGTACGCGACTGCCAGTCGGGCACGGATCTCGGCCCCCCCAGGCACTGTCCCCAGGGCACGGATGGCAGTGTGAAGCTTGTCCCAGCCTCCTCGTAATGAAATCGGTTTGGTGGCGTCTGCAAGCGTCGCAACAATCCCCAAATGCTCAATCTGCTTGGGTGGTTGGTCCGTTCTGTCCCACATCTGCCGCTTGCGCTCGTTCTCCTTGAAACCGACAGCCATGTCGAAGCGTTGTGTGTAGTTCAGGTCCCTGGCGAGCTCCTCAGCACTCGTACTCGTGAGGGACCTGTCGTCCATGAAAGCGTGGCTGGCTGGTGGCTGCCAGGGCACCAGGGCCGCGATCATCGTTGCTGGGGCCACTGAGCCTCCCTGGGGAAGACCACGCGTCGCCCAGATAGGTGGCGCCAACGAGAAGTTGACGCTGCAGTAACGTGGCCCTCTCCACGCGGCCACGGCAGTGAACGTAACAGCTGCGGGCACCCCTGAACAAATACAAGCCTGGGCACCCACTGCGTGGTCGATGTTATCGTAGGCTCGGCTCAGGTCCAATTTGGCACCGGCCTCAAACACTCAACACGAATGTAACCAACTGCTGATGGCATGTACCACACTCGTCGCACGTCGTCCAGCGTACTGGTTGTCAGGCGGCTGAGGCATCCCAGCCGAAAGTGCAGATAGCCAAACCCTGACCAAGATTGAACCCACAGAGATGGGTCGAAACTCAACTTCACTTTTTGGGATCCCAACCACACGCCACGGGAAGATCATGTCCAGAGCGTCATGGTCGAGTATGCCCTGGGTGTCCACACACTCGCGGCTGGTGTCGCACCAGAGTTCGTGCAACTGCAAGATCATCTCTGGGAAGAAACGGCGTAGTAGTTTGAGTTCCGTAGCGGTCCATCCGTCAAGACCTGGAGCACCACGGCATTTGGAAAGTACAGCATCGAAGTGAGCAAGACTCGGCAGCCAATGCTCGCTCTCGCGAGCCCGGGGGAAGTCCACATTCGCGGCCCACTCCTGCCAGCGTGCGAAGTGGCCAGCAGCATCGTGTCGATCAGGCTCAGGCGCCCACTGCTGTTCCCATTCTTTGTGCATCTCCACAACATCCGCTGGGGCCGTCGGTGAGGCAGCCTTGAATAATGGTGTGGCGAGCTTGTAGATATCCTTGCTCCAGCTGGCGAAACGACGTCGCCACTCTCGAGACTGAGACTCCTGGATGCTACGTTGTTCCCTGGAGATGCCAGCGCTGAGCAGATCCAAGGCCTCAGCATGCATAGGGGCCCCGTAGAGGGGTACCTCAAAGAGGCCTCTTTGGGCGGAGGGCAAAGGGTGAAATCTGAAATGCCGTTTCGATAGATTTTCGAGATTTGAATCTGCCAGCGGTGAATCACAAGACGGATCGATTTTCGAGGTGCAGAGGTCCATGTGGAGATCACCCTGAGCCCTCCACCCTAAGGAAATGCTCAGGAATTCCGACGCTCCAAAAAAATGGGAGCAGGCGGCTCTTGCCAGTTTTCGGGCTCCGGGGGCCCTCGCGCCGGGCCTCGGGAGCGTCAGAAACGACTCGGGACGAAAAACAGATGCCAGGGACGCGGTCTGGGCCTCCTGGGCCCACCCCCCAACAAAAAACTGGAGCAGCCGGGTGTCTGGGAAGAGGGCGAACCCCGGCGGAGGGGCCCGATATCCCCCAGCGCTGGTGGGACCCGCAGGGGCAGGCTTCGTAGCTGGCCGCAGACCCGAAGGGGTGCTCGCGAAGACTTGTCCGCGGAGGCCCCGGCGCGGAGCGCACCCGTGCGACCGCGCAGACGTCCACGGGAGGCCCAGACCCCCGACGCCATGATGTTTTCATTATACGTCGACCCCTATAAATGTCTCAACCCATCCCCCCGGACCGGTGTCTCGTCCTGCAGGAGTCGTTCTTTGACGGTCCCGAGGCCCGCTGAGGGCCCCCAGAGGCCGAAGCTGCGGGAGAAGACCTCCCGCCATAGGAGTTTCTTCCTATTGCCCGCGAGGGGGTCTGGGGATGCCGCGCCCACGGGAGGCCCGGGCCGCGGGGGCGTGGGTGCGGACGCGTGTTCCGACTGGGGGATCGACTACGGAATTGATCTACCCCAAAATTGATGTTCACGTCGACTCTTCAACAAAATACGTCAACCATTCGTAGATCTGCGAAATTTCTACGCATTGCCCGTGGACTCGACCAGAAAAATAAACTCTGGGGCAATCCAATTTCGGGTCGGGCGAAAGGGGGGGATAGCAAAGGGGTGGTTTGAGAATCAGCTCACGTTGCTGATTTTCCCGGCGCCTCCCGGCGCCAGAGGCGGCCATAGGAATGGGCCCCTCGGTGGGGCCGAAACCAGCTGCATGCAGCAAATTTCGTAATCTAAAACAGGGCGGGATCGGGATAAATCGCTCCAGAGCGTTCCGGAGCGCTCTCAGAGCGCTCCGGAACGCCATGGAGCGGCCGCGGCGCCCGATT